CCCAGCCGCGCCTCGCAAAGTCCTCTTCGCAACCGGCGGCATTACCAACGGCAGCCAAGCGCGTGGGATCCTCGATGCCGGCGCTAGTGTGGCCCAGGTCTATACGGCTCTGATTTATGGCGGTGTTGGCACAATCACGAGGATTAAACGGGAGATGAGGGAGGAGGCGGAGAGGCAGAAGAGTGCTGGGAAGAAGTGAGGCTAGGACGTGGGCGGGCTAGTGTGTTTATTTTATTGTGGTAGTTTTGGAGCGAGTTTTGCGTCAAGCCGTGACCTTTGCCTCGGTCTTTGACGATATAGATGCCGGGGTGGGGGGCTGGGTGGGGTTGGATTGATAACTCTGTGGGCAATAAAAATAAATGCTGCAGACTTTATTTTCTTGCGCCACAACACCCTTCACATACACAGCCACCACACACGACCGCCCTTGAGGCCGATCCAAAGATTGTGCCCCTGTCCTCCTTTCGGCCTCACATCACAAACATAGGCTTTCAAAATACACACTAGGAATCTTACACTGATGCTACAATTCCACCTCGACTTAGATGCCGAAATCTTCTTTCTTGCCTACCTCGATTCCACACACACTATAGCACCATTGCAAGACTACTACTTTCACATTTTGTCTGTAATATCCAATGGCGCAGTCGTTACTCGCAAAGTAATATTCGGATCTGCCACGTCGCGCAAGGACCTAGAAGCCCCTGTCATTCCTTTGCGGCGTATATGTTACGCACGTGGTAGTGATATCACCCACACATACAGTGAACCATTATACCGCATACTAGACAACGCATAGAACAGTACTGTATCCGCGGTACGTGATATGGTATCTAACTAACATGCTACTTGGCATCAGGACTGGGCTGTATGTCAATGTCCAGCGAGTTCCTTACCATAAACTGCTTTTTTAAGGGGTGGCGGGATGCTTGGACGGGCTGTTATGTTGCGAGTCTGTGAGATGTTTAAATCTAGTTCGTGAATGGTCTGGCGTTGGGTGGTGAATGCGATGAGATGTACGAACCGAAGGGATACGTTGGGACGCTAGATGCCAAATCAGGAGACTACGGGTACTGGGTTGTGTCGAGGTTGGCAGTTTTGATGTTCAGGTGTTTCTAGCAAGGGGGCTTGGTTTGAGCAGTATAGTCTCTTGGTCTAGGGATTCCTCTAGAAGAAAAATACTGACAAGATCGTGCCGCAGATATGATCAGGTCAGTGAAAGAAAGAAGGATTCTCAGTCTCCATACGGGATTGACAGTGATCTTTGGCACTGGATGTGTGCTGAAAATAGCAATCTGACTGCCAAAATACGGTAGCCTTTCCGCTGGTATACTCCAATCCATGCACCCCAGTCTCCAATCGCCAGGCTTTACGTCTCACTTACCCATATAACCCACCAATTCATAAATGGTTACACCTAAGCATCAATCTTGCTCTGCAAGAACTTAGGCGCGTCGCTCCCCGCATCAGCACCATAGGTAAGATACGCAGGAGTAATCGTCAGCGTCCCCGTACAAACCAGGTCACCAGCAGCGCAATACACCTTCAATCTCTCAGCAGGGTAGTTGGGAATACGTCCGCCGTTTTGCTTGTTCTTGGTATAGCCGAAGAGCACGACACCCTTGACTTGGTCGCGGACGGCTGGCTCAAGACGGGACACGGCGCCGGCGATGAGGGCTGCGCCTTGACTGTTTGGCTGTCAGTATTTTCTTTTGCTGTTGCTTTTGTGTGATGATGTGGTGTGGCGTGAGAAAACGAAGAAAGGTCACGTACCTGTAGCCACCTGCGACGATTGCGGCGTTGGGGCATTTTTTGGCGGCAAGGTTGAAAAGACGCACGCCTTCGTTGAATGCGGCGGGTGAGGAACCACCAGGAAGGGCATTGGAGCCTAGATCTGCAGTATAAGGGCCTCCAACACCTTGGACCCAGACTTGGTTTGCACCGTAGATACGCTCAAGGCCGTTGGCGAGAGGGGGGCCAGTTAAAGTTCCCTATGTTATTGAGTTGTTAGTTGAGTTCAAGAATCAGTGGCTGGTCATGCCACGAGATATGAAAGGTAAGGAATGGATGATGGAGCATTGAGACAACGCTTGATACTTACCATATTTCCGCGCTCCGTACTTCCACGAGCCATGATAAAGATGACTTTGGGGCATGCTGAGGTGCTGTCTGTCTCGAGCTCATTCCGAGTACTACCGCCTATCTGACGGATATCCAACGCGACCTCTGGGACTGTAACAGTGACCACTTCGGGCTCAGTGATTGCTACAGGCTCAGGTGCAGCGATGGGCGAGGCAGCCGCGAGAGAAGTGAAGAGCAAGATGGCAAAGGACTTCATGTTGACGGATATCAAAGGGTTTTGGAAAAGATCTGCCAGAAGGTGTCTGGAAGTGATAAGCAGTGAAGGGCTATGAGAACCTTTGGATGGAGAGGAAGAAATGAACTGTGGTGATGATCTCTCTCTTTCGCAAGAAAGTAGTGATATTTATGTGTTTCGCCCTCACGTCCAGGGTAACAGTTACCAGTGATAGGCGCTGTACGAAACAGTGAACCTCGGTACCATCTCGAAAGCCAAGTCTCAATTTCCCAAATGTCTACACACACTATGCGCCTACCAGCATGGTGGTTGACCGCTGTCCACATTTTGAGTTTGCCCTTGACTCGTACAGGGAGTATAGAAGCCGCAGTGGCTGCAAGTTATCAAATCCAGACATCGGATCAATCTGGATACTTATTAGATCTATTAACAATCGGACAGTTATTTACTTGTAGATGAAGCTCATGATCTGATGAGTATTGATCAACAGTGGAGCATCCATCACGCTTTTTCTAGTGGGGGATTTCTTTTCCATTCTGTTCACCATGTTTTCTCGGCGGCGTGCTGGCAATGGATGACGGTCTGTGCTATGAGTTGGACATGCGTATCTACCAAGGAGAGCCCGATGGAACGAATAAGTCGCATGCCGGTAGTACTACGGTAGGTGGGGTATCTATTAGTGGGTCTCGAACAAGCACGTTGTAGATCCTACAACATGTTCTCTTAACTAATGGAAGCCACTGAACGTGGCTGCCGAAATGGCGCACTCGGTCACGAAACTCTAATACTGGAATTAGAGACGATCTTCACTGGTCACTTTCTTTTCAATGCCAACATGCACGCAAGTACCATCCCCCGAGCCCGCTCTAGTATTCGAGACAATGCTGACAACACAAGCAGCATGATACTTGCGTCTGAAACAACAACGCGGGACGTGTGGAGGACCGGAGTAGCCCTTTGACATATCAAACAAAAGCTTACAATGTCCAAATCTTTCTTCGATCTTCCTTGATCATCAAAGCCCATCTCCGCTTTTCAAGATGTCGTCCATCATGTTAGCCTCGGCGTGTGTGTGAGCAACCGTTTGAAACGGGTCAGGGATGTCAAGCTGTGTCTAGGTAGTGTCTAGGTAGCGCCAACAGTTAAAACAAAGTTCCTTCCCCACAATATCGGTATGCGCACGTAGACTACCCATATGAACCTTATTCTAGCCCCTTCTAAACGCTCACTAGTATGATTTTCCTTACAGAATAGCATTGTGGCCAATGGCAGAGTCAATTCGTTTCTTGATACCTCGGTCAATACTTTCGTCCTGCACGTCTTCAGGCCTCTCAAGAGGTCCTGTGATTGACTTCGTGCGTTGGAATTTTTCCGGAATGGGGTGAGAGTAGGCCAGCCTTGGCACTCGGATTTTGGACGGCGATGTCGATATGCTGTGTAACAATCGGTTTCTAGTGCGATTTAGCACGGCACAATGCATCATCACAAAGCATATCAATGACTGAAGTCTCTTGAGACATTACAATATCATGAAATTAGTTCCAGATCTTATAAGACCACTAGATGGTAAGCCTTGCTATCTTGAAAATACGTCAGTACTTCAATTAGCTCGACCTTTTGTACTGCTTGATCCACTTGGCATCTCTCTTTGACAACTCCACAGCACTTCGCTTTTTATTTTCTCCGCCACCAACATTTGCAGCTGTAATGTTGCCGCACTCTGGCGTTGTAAGGCGCTGTCCGAATTGGTCCACAGCCCAGATGAGGACACCGTTGCTCCAGCCAAAGCCCTCTACGACGGTGTACTCTCCACCCCCACCTGCGGCATTGGTAGATTGGTCAGAATATTTCTCAAAGATCGTACCATTGCCCTGAGATCCAGGAAGCTGAGGCACATCATCCGTCGCACCACCAGTCACGCGCCATGTGCAGTAGAGCGAGTCCAGATAGCGTTGAGCGAGACGAAGAGCGAGGTCCTGTGTCCATACATAATCTGCAGTTGTCTGCTCATCATGATCTTCACTGACTTCCAGCGGGGTGCTCAGTAAGCCTTGCATGATAATGTACTGTAGGGGTGGCCACACGTTCGGTTCGTCCCATTGCTGACCAGTCTGCAGGTTCGTCGCAGACACTGCACCTGCTTGCTGATCGAGTGCTTCCTCAACACGTGCGAACACACGTCGCATGGCTTTGGGATCATTCTTAATGCTATCGGGAGCAGCTCCAGTCCAGAATGGGTAGAGTTGGGCAGTTTGAAACCAAATTTGCTTTCCAGCTGGTGCTCCAGCAAGAGAAAGGGGAGTGCTACTATTATCGGCCAAGGTGTACATGTTAAGAGAGCTCGACGTGAGGTTGTAATCGAAGTAGCTGTAATGCTCAGCGCTCCAGAGCATTGTTGCCATTGCCTCGCTGCGATTTGCCGCTCTTGTAGCCCATTCACGCGCAGCGGAGTAGTTGCCCTGGTGGCGGTGGAACTCTGCAATAGTAATCTCGTTGTGGTACAGAATCGAGTTCAGCTCGACTGGTATGATCTCAATAGTGTTCAGCGATCGAAGAGGGAAGAAGGTGTCAGTGACAGCATCCAAAGGGTTTGCAATCCATCGCGCCGAATAGTCCCAGCCACTCTCTGCTCCAGATGCAAGGTTGGAATACAGCCTCGCCTTCTCCGTTGCATTAAGCGTCTGGGTCGCATTAAATTCTTCTCCTTCCTCATTAAAATAGGTCTGATTGTTTGCGGTCGTGTAATCTTCGTAATACGATTCAGGTCGTGGTTGCGTGTTCGACACAGCGTAGTGGTTCAGCGAGTAATTTCTTCCAGCACGCTCGAGGGTGACAGTGCGATTGTTGACCCAGAATTCGTACTCTAATTCCAAAATCGGCAAAGCGCGCTCCAGCAGCGTGTAATTCTGTGTGTATTCGACATAGATGCGGACCATCTGCGTCAGTAGCGGTGGTTGAGACCGGTTCTCATAGTATCTCCTGGCACCATTGGGAACAAAGCCGATATCTTCCACAAGATCTAAGAAGTTTTCGATGATGTTCTCCGCGATCTGAGTAAACGAACCTTTGGTTCGCAGAAGTCCCTCGATAATCCAGAAAGAATCCCAGTAGTACGGTTCTCGGAACCGACCGCCGGCTACGACAAAGGTTCGATTGACGGGAATGAAGGAATTGACACACTCAGAACAGTTACCTGCTCCCACATATCGGCGTGTCAGATCTGGCCAAATATCGATCACTTGGCTTGTGAAGTCTCGCACCGTCGAGCTGTTGACGTTTTCGAGAAAATCTGGCTGCGTCTCCAGTTGATCGGGAGGAACTGGCTCGAGCTCAGAGCCAGCCTCACCAAAGTACTCCGAGAGAAAGTCATTAAGCTCTGTGTTGTTCTGGATGGGTCTAGTTAAGTGGGCAGTAGCCCAGCCCCTATTCCCGAATTAATACTTGGCAGTTATCCCTGGC